TACTTCATTATCATTAACAATCAGACGACAAGAAACAATCTTTCATCATATTTATTCATTCAAGCAAATGAAATCGAAATCGACTGATAAACATTCTAATTGAACGCTATATTAATCGACAGAAAAAAAGATGTATTATGACATTTGACGTAAGTTCATCAGACATAGAAATGTGCAATTGATGATGGCAGCAGTTTGTGTGTAACAGCCGTTGTACGTTTTGACTATATAAATGTGAAAAGAATGTTTATTAATGGAAATAACTAGATTTAACTAACAACTAAGTAAGATCATTATCTGCTTGTACAGTAGCAAAGAAGAAAAAGAAGATGAAGACAGACAACTGCTGTTTAGTTTATACTAATACTCTCTTATACAAGCGCGAGAAAAAAAAGAAGAGGAAATCGTTTCGATTTGTTCTCTTACATATCAATTACATCACAACAAAAGAAATGTACTATAGAAAAAAAAGAATTACCATGTATTAACGAACTCTTTAGAAGTAAAGACAAACATAATGGTACTATCAAATGGTCATATGTGTGATGGTGGTAATCGAACAATACGTTGGTCACAATTTTGTGATGGAATTATTGATTGTTATGATCGTTTTGATGAAGAAGGACATTTTTGTAGTAAGTTTTAAATTCATAATATATTTATATCTTTAAATAAAATGTTTATTTTTGAAAAAAAGAACTTTGTATAAACAATCTTTATTCATGTCCACCAAAAGATGATATACGTTGTGATTTAGCTTGTAAAATGCTTCATTATGTACCATGTCAAACCATACAAGATCGTCGAGCATGTAATAATATTGAAAACAATTGTAAGTTAATATTAATAGAAAAATTTAGGCTTTCAAAAAATTGTTATATAAATATAAGAGTTTTGTCCAGTCAATATTGAGAGTAGGAAACAATACAGAAAAAAATATTGTTATCTGTTCTCATCATCACACTTCGATACTTGCATTTTTCGGCGAAAATTAGATTCTTTATAAAAGAAAGGATATTAATAAATATTAGATACTTTGAAATCGAGTGTTTTAAAGATATTGTTGATTCTTTTATTTGAGATTATTAGAAAGTGTGACCTATAATCAATCGTATTAGACCGAGAAATATTCAGCTCTAGTATTATAAATCGAGCATTGTCAATAAATATTGACTCAACAGAAGTTGTTGAAAAGAAAAAAAAAATCATTAAGTAATTGCATCGGTATTTGTAAAAGGTCAGATATTATATAACATTTATGTATATATAATTATACATTAGGAACTTCTAAGAATATTTGTTTTTTATGCTATAGATGACAATAATTTCCTTTTTCAATTGCTCAAAGAATTCAAAGTTTATATTGGTATGTTTAATTTTAAAAAAATTGATGAATAAAGAAGCAACGGAAAAAAAGCGAAAGTTTCATATTCCAAGAGTATGTTAAATCTATTCTCTAGAAATTTTTAGCTATTTCAAGTCTAGTATCAACGTGTGTCACGAGTATATTAGTTTAAATTTATTTCATATAAGCCTATCCGGCAATAATGCCGTAATACTTCATCGTACTTCATTGATACTCAAATCTTGAAGTACGATGAAGTATTACGGCACTATTGAAGGACAGACTTATATGAAATAAACTTAAACTAATATACTCGGGACACATGTTGATTGCAGACTCGATATTATTAAAAAGTTTTAGAGGATAACTTTGACATATTCTTGGAGCACGGAAATTTCGCTGTTTTTCCCTTGATAATGGAAAAAAGTTTGCAAAAAAAATCATGTTTTAATCTTTTTAATATATACTAAAATAGTGTTTCTAACATGAAAATAAATAAACTTGGACTAATCAACTTCGTCTATGAAAATATTTTGCTAACATTTTTCCACCTAATTTCTTTAAAATCTATTAAATTATCTTCAACTATTTCAGTTGCTACTATTATTCTTATTCTTATTTTAATTGGTATTGCTATTCTAATTAAATATCTTATTCGTAGACATGAACAAAACATAGTCAATACTTCATTTACAGTATATATTCAACTCGTTTTTGTTTTTATCTACATGCACAAATGCTCTTCTATTTTTAGCCATCAAATTTTCCTCATGTTTCAAATCATCCAATCGAAACAGATACGTTATCCAGTCATATTTATGAACAATGTTATGAACCACCGTCCTATGAAACTGCACAAAAGTATCCACTGATGAAAACATATTATGAACATGTAGTATGATAATGAGAATGATTTCCGGTAAAAAAACAAATATATATATATATGATATCTATTGACATTATTAATAAAATCTTCTATTTACTTTGTTGCTTTTATATTTAATCTTTTCTAAACATAAATCGTACATATTTAAGCAATCCGTATAAAACAAATAAATCAATGATTGTTACTGAATTATAAATCAAAACATAGGTTTATCGAATGGCGAACAAAAAAAAAATACAGATTATTTTATAGAGAAAAACAAGATCAGTTTTACATTCCAAAGAATAAACTTCAATAAACAAGAAATTTTAAAAAATCATCATTTATTTAGTGAATTTAAACCGTACCATTCATTATCAAATTTTCTACAAGCAAAGAATTAATTCCGATGAGGCCATTATTTTCGTCTATATTTAAATTTTTCAAAATGGGAAACGTACATAGGCGGCTTACTTCTGGGAATAGTTCAGATCTATTGATGTTTACTATTGATTATCAATCTAACTGATATTGTTCTATGATTTAGTATGAGCAATATACATATGCACTGTATCAGTCTGCGAAAGATCAATAGTACTGTTTAAAAATGACAATTAATTTACTATAACTAATTTCGTGTTGTATTAACAGTTTTCAATAGATCCACAGTCGTAATTAGTTGCAACAATATTAAACATGGATTTTGGTCATTGTTTTCTAGAAAAGCGCGAGTATCAGTGGAAAAAAAATGATAAAATTTTGAACAACGCACTCAATCGATTATGTCAGTACATATTCGAATATAAATGACAATGTTTGTTGATACTCGGTTGTTTTTATAACTTCTAATTGATCATTGCTTTTCATCTTTTCTTTTATTTACACGCAGCATTTTATATGTTTATGTCTATAATAGATTAACATGATGTACTCGATATAAAGTCTATGTCATAAATCATATATCTCATATTTCATTTTGTCACAAAAAGTCTAATGACATAACTAAAGGTGGGCTTGATCAGGCTTCGCGGCAGCAACCGATTTCCATATATATATATTTATTGAGATAACAACGATGATAATAATTAGAATAGGATCGTCCGACATAGAAGGGAAGACAACAAAAATAAGACTGCCGAACAAGTGGATGAAAATCTATTTCTATATATCAGTGTTTTATTCAGCTTGAGAGTCTAGGCGGCGACGCCTCTTCGAAGATTAAGGTGGCTCTTCCGAAATTGATGGTTATTCTAGCATGTAATATGTGTTTGTGTTCCAAAAAATAGATATTCACCTTCCCAAAGTTTTAAATTGTCCTTCCGGAAGGGAAAATCTCGATAAAGCACTGACATATATATATAAGGAGGAATGATGATCATAAGCTACACGAAAAAGCAAGGCAAAGAACAATGAACAAAATACAATTGACTTAAACGTGAGCGGCAACCTAATAGTATCTATCTACACGAAAAGTCTCATATTATTTGGAGAATGTTTATTTTTATAAATCCTAATGAGTTTTTCCTGGTGTGAATAGATAGCGGGATGAGCCTCTCTTCAATCTTAATGAATTTTCGTTACTCTTCAACCGAGTTCCAGCATTTTGTTGACTTTATTGCTCATCGATTTTCAAAAAATTCACATTTCAATGTCTGATGAACTTTAGAAAACATCTTCTGATCGACCTTCTGAGCAATCAACCGTCACCTATAGTTCTAGTGGTCTCGAAAAACAACTGAATAGGTTTAGAAAAATAAATTCTTTTGGCCATGAAGATGGATTTTTTTTTTAATATAAGAGCGCTACATTCGAAGTGGATAGAATGAACCAATTAAAATAATATGACTATTTTATATTATTGTTTAAAAGTTCTGTCATGTTTTTTTTAAAAGTTTGATAAATTTCAATAAAAAAAAAATTATTTATAATTTTTTTCACTGAATAGTTATTTAAAGAGCAAAGGATCATATTGATGGATTACTTGATTTTCATTGGTTAAATAAAATGATTTGGTAATTTCTGGTTGTTTGCTTATTATTTCTCTTCATATTCATTTATTTTTTATTTTATTTTTTTGTTGAAAATTCTCCTAAAAATGTGTGAAATCTCATCATCAATTTGTTCATCACCAATAGGTCGTTTAACAATATCTTATTGTCGAAATGGTCTTCATTCTATTTCACAAATATCGACCATCAATGATCAATCATTTAAACCAGATGAAAAGTTAATATTATAAAATATTTTCGTTTCATAAAAAGCAACAACTTATTATCTTTAGCCAAGCAATCGAAATTCAATCATCATCTGGTAAAATTCCCATACCTGAATCATGTCTTAATTGGCTTCGTACTTATTTTCATTCACCAAATAATTTAACTCAAACACCTGAACTTTGTTCAGATGTTATTTCAAAAAAAGGTTCATTTCAAGAAAATGTTTGGCGTACACTTTTAAATAATGTTCATTTTGGTCAAATAATAACATATGGTCAATTAGCTGAATTAGCTGGAAATAAAAAAGCTGCACGTGCTGTTGGAACAGCTATGCTTCGTAATCCATTTCAATTAATAGTACCATGTCATCGTGTTATTCGTTCTAATGGTGATATGGGAAATTATTCAGGAGGAGAAAGAAATAATGTCAAACGTTGGTTACTTAAACATGAACAAAAATAAACATATATATTTATTTATTTATTTATAAGTTAGAAACTATATGATATTTTCTTATTTTAGATAAAAGTCTCTATATAAAATTAAGAAAAAAAAACAAAATCTTATATAAAAAATGGCCGCACGTGGTTCAGCACGAAATTCACGATTAAATAAAAAACCAAAGAAAACTAAATTACGCGGTATGTTGAGTTAATTTTTTTGTCAAAGATCTCTTTTTCATAAGCAAGTTTGAAAATAATCTCCTTGTGATTAGCAACAGCAACTACATTGTGCCTTGCATTGTTATCCCGTAGGGATTGTGTTAAACATCTTCTTGTATGTGCAGTGTTTATTGAAAAATATTGTGAGAAATTATTTTTCGAATGCAACAGTTGATTGTTAAAGCATCTTCATGCATTATTTAAGATGAAAGTAGTTGGTATTAATGAGTTTTACATTGGTGTTTAGACATGTTTTTTTAAATTCTTGTTTGTTTGGATAAATATAGACTTTCTTTGCTGTGATATATTATCTTCATTTGTTGTTAAATAGAATTAAGAATTTAAAATTAATAATTCCTTTGAAGATAAAAAAAAATATTTGAGCTTGAAGAGTCTTGAATTTTGCTGTTTCTCTCTTGGTTTCAGTTTTCTTAATATAGATTATTAAGCATTTGGTTACAACTTTTTTGAACAGACAATAAAAAATGTAAATTAGCTTATAGAAGCTTGAAATCGGGTTTATATATCAAAAGAAAGCGGCGAATTGTGTTAGACTTCAATTAATGTCATATAATTCAGTACTTTCATAGCAAAGTAGAATTGTTCAAAACCTTGCGGAATCCTTTGTGTCACTCCATGAGTAATCCTGTAGTTTCATATCATAATATAGATCTAATATAAATTGAGCGTCTAGTTTTTGTATAATATTACGTCTTCAGCAGTAATTCCAACTTTCTCGAACGACAATGGTTCTAATTCCTGTTGAATTTCATAGGGCTCTGAACGATTTTGAGTATGCACACGTCTCTAAATTCATGACTATTTTTCACTTGATATACATGCACAATGATTTCATAAAAATGATGCGATGATACTAAAAGCATAAGGAAAAAAAGAGAATACTTAATAGCGGAAGAAAAAGACAAGATTGTAAAAGTTATAGTCTGTATAAAAGTTTAGTGTATGTATATACAAACTCCTTAATCAAATAGTTAACTGTACTTCACTTCGAAACAAATTTTAATTCATAAAACTATTCATTTTGACATGTTCGATCTTGCGATTTCCTTGCTTCAAAATGAAAATATTGAAGTTTTTTATTGGTTTTATTTTCACAACCATATTATAATAACTTTCAAAAATATCTTAGACTCTCTAGATTCGTTCTTACAAAGTTTTCTAGAAAACTAATTCACATAGATTTCGTAATATCCAAAGTTTAAACTATTAACCGAACGAAGATTAACTGATAATTTTCTTTTAGGTAACGTCTCCCACGGTCATGGTCGTATTGGTAAACATCGTAAACATCCTGGTGGTCGTGGTAATGCTGGTGGTCTTCATCATCATCGTACACTTTTCGATAAATACCATCCGGGTTATTTCGGTAAAGTTGGTCAACGTGAATTTCATAAACTTAAAAATCGTCGTTGGTGTCCAACAGTCAATCTTGATCATTTATGGTCACTTTTGAGTCAACGAACACACGAAAAATATACCGAAGGTGAAAATACTGTCGTACCTGTTGTTAATGTTGTACGATCAGGTTATTTCAAAGTATTGGGTAAAGGTGTTTTACCAAAACAACCACTTATTGTCAAGGCAAAATTTTTCTCCAGACGTGCTGAAGAAAAAATTAAGGCAGCTGGTGGTGCTTGTGTACTTTTAGCATGAGACACATTAAAACATCATGTATTGTCTCTGTTCACAAAAAAGAAATAGAAAATAAATTATGATCATCATCATCATCATTGTTTTTTCGTTTGTAATCGATATTGTTTTGCTTGTTTGTTTTTTTTCCTTTATAAGCATATAAAAAAGAAATATGAAAACAAACGAAAACTAAATAATAAGAATTCTTTTTCTTTTTATGCATATTATGAAAAACAAAACAAGAAATATACATATAAATTCTTAGCCTTGCAGATATGTGTCAAGTAAACGAAGAGGACGATGAAATATTTCAAGTACTCAAATCTGCTACAAATAAGTAGGTCGAGATGGAATTTCTATGAAATATTTTATTTCGTATTTGTTGTTCGGCAAAAATAAAATTTCTTTTAAAATCTTTTACAGAACATCAATTAATCGAAAATGTATGAGCTGTGATCAAGATGCTTGTGTCATAGTTCGAATTGCAGATCCAATGTGTCGGTGAGTTATTCATTTAATTCAAGAACTATTAAACAATAGTTTATAAACTTTGATGAATACAAAAGAGTTAATCATTTTATATCAGACAATATTCAGAAGGCTTAGTGATTATCAAACAACAAATTATTTAAAGCGAAGAAGATAGTAAAATGATTTATTCATTAATAAGATTTATAGAAATTTTCTTACTTCAATCGAAATGACGATATATAATAGTGGACAAAAGTCTTGCCCAATCTCAACCATCATAAATGCTGGAGATCTGAGAAATTGTGTGGCAAGAATGCGCGGTACTATGTATGTAACTCAAATCCAAATATTGCATTGAATAGCCAACGAATTTCTCTATTAAATCCATACTAGAATGAAATATGAAATAAAGGTTTCTGGAAAACCAGTAACAATAGTTTTCATGTCCCAGACGATTATGTAAAAATTAGTTTTTAAGAGTATAAAATTTCTGAATAAAAGGAAGAATTGCTGCATTTACTACGCCCTTTCCTTAAACAGTTAGAACGATCGCAAAAAAGAAATTTATCATAACATTACTAGGAAACTCATTTTTTTTTGTTTTTTTGGAATCTTATGAATTTTTAACGAAAGATCGTAGGAAATACAGCAATCTCTCATTTTATTCAGGACTCTGCGTTGTTTAAGATTATTCGCTTAAAAGTTAAATTTTTGATATTCTATCAAAAATATATTTGCCTTATTTTTTTGGCCAGTACTGTAAATCAGCATCGTAATTTTACTTCGATTGCTTAAGAACTAAGAGAATTATTTTCAATGATATATATTTGTTGGATTGAAGAGACAAAAGACAATCCGCTAAACTTGATCAAATGTATAGCTTATGGATAGTTTTACATACCATTGTAGTTCAATTCAAGATTTTTCTCTTCTCAAAACACGAGTTCATTTGTTTCAATAGTGTCAGTAGATGTTACTGACAACTCTACATCATCCACACGTTAATCATGCGTCTTTCATTTTCTCTTTAGTAGACGGTTGTTTTTGAAATTACGAAACCAGTAATGTCCAGCTACAGGAGAAGAGTTTGAATTTTATCTGCTGAACTATTACTGTGTTCTGATCTCGAAAGGTACCAGATGATTTTTCTCCACGCCAATAGTGATAGCAAAATGTTCATAGTCCTAGAGAGCGTTCACGAACTTCTATGAAATTGCTTGTGTAGGTAGCTAAAACATGACACCAGATAATGAGTTGTCGACAGATTCAATAAATCCTTATTTTTCAAAGGATTAATAAATAATATCCATTGTTATCCGTGATAATTCTCTTCGCTCTGAAGCAATCGAAACAGAATTTTGCTACTGGTCTTCATTTTTGGCTGAGTATGTTCACACACGTTTTCAAACTTCTAACGCTTATGTTGGTTGAGACGAAATAGGGTAGAGACTTTTCTTCACTGTTAAAACTAATCATTGGTTTTATATGTTGGTGTATACAAATTTACTTTTCTAACCTTATATATTTGTTAATACAAATCAAACAGAAATCAATACTTTATGTAATGAGTAAACTTAACATTTGAAAGACGTTTGGTTACTTCGGATCAGAGCCCGAATCGAACCGACTTTTACGGATTCGAGTTCGGTTCGGCTCGACTAAATTTTTAAAAAATTGGTTCGGCTTCGGTTCGGCTCGAATATGTCTTTAAAAAGTGGGTTCGAGTTCGGTTCGGTTCGGTTCCTGATAGGAGTGGCATTTTCCTGTAAGTTTATTTTAAAATAAATTTAAATTGTTATGTGGAATAAATTTAAAATTATTTTAGATTTAAATTTTTGAGAATTAATTTCTGAAAATAATAAATTTTTGTGAATTAAAATGCAACAACCCAATCGTCAAAATACATGACTTCAAGAAAAATAGATCAGAAATAAAGAGAGAAACTGCTGTTATGCGTTAATATCCGATCATCACTATAGAAGATCCCGTAAGAAAACGGCCGTGCTCCGTTCCTGTTATTTTCTAACGATAATAAAAAACTTGTACAGATACCATTGCTAGTAGACCTGAGAGATAAATGGTTTCTTTTGAGTTCTGTAGACAACTATACAAAGTGAAACTTAAATTAATTAAAATGGAGCTTAAAATACGTCAAATATATTTAGATGTAATCTAAATTATTTTGAGTTTATTGAATTTTTTTGAATTTTATATAAGTTCGATTTAAATTCAAAATAAAATGAAATCTGTTACAATTTATTTCTTGACTTGATAAATTTTTGTAAATGTAAATTGATCGTCCACAATTCCTGATGTAAAATGTTCGATTAAAGATCGTTTGATAATCCCATATAGCATCACAATCGTACCAAAAAGATTATGGCTCAGTTAATCATTTTTCTTATGTACTTGTCCATATTTGTTCGCTTTTCAAAAATTAGTTAGGGTCAGTTCAGTTTAACGTCCCTTTTTAAGAAGTGGTTCGAGTTCGGTTCGGTTCGATTCTGTTTTAAAAAGGGCTGTTCGAGTTCGGTTCGTTTTCGGGCTCTGGCAAGAACATACATGATTTAGCAGCCATATAAACTAGGATGAACGCTTGGACAAGACAAAAATTATGATAACATGTCCAAAAAAAGGTGACCGATCAATTTGTCGCAGACAATTCGTCGCAATCAATGCGTCGCGAACAATTCGTCGCACGATCAATTCGTCGCATAACAATTTGTCGCGTACTGTTCGTCGCAACAAATTCGTTGCATACATATGATCGCACGATAAATTCGCTCGTCTCTCTTAACTAATTTTTTCATTCAAGAAAAAAAAATGTTTAGATGTTATCCAATTATATATAATATACAAGAAAAAAACAAAAAAAAATACATAAAACTGTCAATTTAATGATGTTTCGATGATT